AGATTGAGCAAGAACACTGGTTTAGCTGGGCGTTGGTGGCACATGCCTTTAATCCCAGCACTCTGGAGACAGAGGCAGGCAGATCTCTGTGAGTTCGAGGTCAGCCTAGTCTACAGACTGAGTTCCAGGACAGGCTCCAAAGCTACATCCTGTCTCGAAAAACAAAACAAAAACAACACTGGTTTAAATAAATCAAATAAACACACGCCATTCCTTTCTGGTCTGCAGGTGCTTGATCTAGCCACACATGTTCACAGGCTTAGCAGCAACCTAACTGCACACATTCCACATTTATCCTCATGCCAATCACCTTTGGAGACATTCAGCATCCACCTCCTTCAGGAAGCTCTCCTTGCTCTCCCTTGGGACCTTGCTTCTCTCCTGTGACTCGTGGCACAGGTTGACACTACTCTGATCTGTGAGGGCATCACGTTCCTGATGGACCCTCTTACCAACTACAGGATTCAGCACTCAGGACCCTGCCTGACTTTACTCCTTATCTTCTCCTTGGGGTTCTGTGTCCTGGGACGTTGATGAGAGAGTCAATGGAGAAACCAATTCATTCTTTTTCTGTAGCTGCCAGGAAGCTCTGAGGTGGCTCTTCCTAGAAAAATGACATTTCCTGTGGCCCAGCCATTGTCAAATCCAGGTTGGAAGTTCATTGTGCCAGTTACATAATTAACCCAATGAGCTCAGTGCCACAGATGGGGCACCCAGGTGAGTCTCCTTGACTGTTCTTCACTCCTGTGGCTGCCTGTGTTGCCTGGCCCACAGGCCCATCCTACCGCCTTGAAAGCCAATCTCCTTCAATCAAATCCTTCTCATGGGATGTCTCCCTGCCTCTAGTTCTATTTTCTAGAAGAATCTGTGTGGTTGTATTTTCCCCTCTTAGCCAGACACCCTTCCGGTCTGAATCCAGCTGATTGGCAGCACTGATTGCATCAATGACCTCCATTCCTTTGTCTTTTGCTGCCTTTAGTCTGACTGTCGGCAGGATGGGGTTGAGAGCCACCCAGGGGATTAATACATCTCACTCTGGGCATGTCTCGGAGGATTGGCTCAAGAGGGCTCTGAGATGATGAACGGTTTCACCTATTGGTGGGTTTAAAATGTGAGAAGACTATTGGGACACGTTGGAAGACTCAGCTCTGGTTCCTGCTCATCACAGTGTGAATTGCTTTGCTCCATCCCACTGTGATGGATGGAGGCCTCTGAAACTGGCCTTCTCCTTACGTTGTTTGTATTAGGTGTTCAGTCACAGGGCCGAAAAGGCTGATGAACACACTGTGACTTAACCCCAGGCTCAGGCTCTGGGAAGTAGGAAGTAGACCCTCTTTAATGAGGGGATGCTGGGGTTCATTTCTCTGCCTTCCATACTAGCACTATGAGGACCTCAAAACAGTGGGGATCATTTGTAGAGCCACAGGAAGGGAGCTCGGGCAGTGCCCTGTGCCACTTCTCCTGCTTAGTCAGAGGGACCAGGCCATGGAGGAGATGGAGACATCGTATGCCCATGGGGTGATGAGAGCCGACACTGTCCCAGCAATGGACAGCTGATGACCTCATCAGGCTTTGGAAGGTGATAGTCTCACCAATGCTGTACCAACACACCAGGCTTTAGTGTTTCTCCTCTTATGCTCTTAATGATCTGGGAATACAAGCCTTACTTGGACCGTTGAAAACATTTGATCTAAAGCAGAGCCCAGATCCTCTGGGGTGGCGAGGGCTGAGGCCCAGATAGTCAGACCTGCGTGGACCCTCCATGCAGAGGAAGAGAAAGAAGAAGGCACAGAATGGGTACAGCTGTTGGCCTCAATGCTCTGCCTTAAAGGATGCACCATGATGTGTACATGCCTGTCCCTCTGCTATTCCCATCTCCCTGACTACCCTTCCATGCATGATGCATGGAGGCAGTTCCCAGAAACCTCTGGGCTTTCCGCTAGCTCATGCATGCTGGAGGTTTGATATCAAACTTTCAAGACATGCTGTTCACGCACCAACTCATCCCCATTTCCTGTTATGTTTCCCGTGGCTGCTTATATAGAGTCATAAGCTATTAGCCTCTGGAGCCTCCGCATGGCTCTCCCAGCTGGTCTCAATCACCATGCTACATTCTGTCTATGTGGCAGAGTGTGGCAGTAGCCAGACACCACCACTCTTCATTGCCTCTTCCTTTGGAGCAGCCCCCGACATTTGTGGTAAAAGGTGGCTGAGGAACTACATTCCCAGACTCTGTGACAGGGAGGAGAGGCTGTGAGATCATGTTCTGCCCAAGGGAACATGAGCAGAAGAGTGTGACACTGCCAAGGGGAATTCTGAACCCTCCTCTCTTGTTCACCTCTGTCTGGAATGCAAGGTGATGGCAGCTACTTTAGAAGATGATACCTAGAGGGTCTTCATCACCAGACCTCCCTAGCCCTCATCTATGGAGCGTTTATCTGCCCACCACATTTCCCATGATGATGTTTCATGTCTACTCAGTTAATAAACTGATCTTTCTCTCGGGACAGGTTTGGGCTCTTGTGTAGTGAAATATTATTTTAACAATGTAAGGATGTGTTACATTTGTTTGTGCTGCATTTGTTTGATTACGGAAACATATGTTGCATTTGTTTCACCTTGTCTGCCTAAGGCCCCTGATTGGTCTAAGGGAAAGCTGAACGACCAATAGCAGGAGAGGGATGGGCAGGGCTGGCAGGCAGAGGAAGTAAGTAGGAGGAGAAATCCAAGCAAAGGAGAGATGGAAAAGAGAACAAGGGGGAAAGAGAGGAACACACTTGGGGCCAGAAGACATCTGGCAGCCAGCCAGCCAGTCACGGAGACAGCAAGAAAGTAAGACACACAGAAAGGTAAAAAGCCCAAAGGCAAAACATAGATAAAGAGAAACAGATTAATGTAAGAGATAAGGCTGAGCATTCATAGCTAATAGTAAGTCTCCATGTCATGATTTAGGGGTTGGTTGGTGTCCTAAAAGAGAGCCTGTTACACTGTTGTCACCAGTTTCAGGCTCAGACAGTATCTCTTAAATAACTAAGACCACGGCAGGCAGTGGTGGTGCGTGCCTTTAATCCCAGCACTCGGGAGGCAGAGGCAGGTGGATCTCTGTGAGTTTGAAGCCAGCCTAGTCTATAGAGCGAGTTCCTGGACAGCTAGGGCTGTTACACAGAGAAACCCTGTTTCAAACAACAACAACAAAACCTAAGACCAAGAGCTAGGACTTGATCCCTGGCCACTGTGAACTAGAAGTGAGGCTGAGTGGAATTATGGTAGGGCCTATGGGACCTATTTAATTGCCGGCCCCAATTCATGGCCTCTCTGTGCCTATGTCCTTTGCCCTCTGAGTGTGCAGTCTCCTCCCACTGACTCTGAACTTAGTCATGTGGTTTTTAACCAACAGGATTTCAGATTAGGATATTGGAAATATGTGTGCATTTCCCATTTCCTGTCATAGAGACTGGTGATCTCCATGAGCATACCCCTGGGCTGGCTTGTTTGGCGATGAACCGCATGGAGAACCGCTGAGGCCAACCTTGGTCAGACTGCTGAGCCCTGAATAGGTAAATGAATCTTAGTTTACCCTAGGAAGAATTCTGAAGCCAACAACATTAACAGAACACACTGCTGTTCTCCAGACGCATGAGCAATAACAAATGCTGTTGTCTTGAGTTTTGAGGCATTTGTTATGCAGTATTATGGAAGAGCTGACTGTTAGGAGACCTTTTCCCCTAATATTTTCAACAGACTGGGCAAGTGTATTTCTTGCAGTGCAAGCAAGGAGGCAGGAGATAGATTGTGCATCCATTTTTCTTTTGTTGTTGTTTAAGTTCAATGCTACCATTGGCTTCTCTGTGTCATTGGCCAAGTGACCGGATGCTCAGTTTCTGTCTCTGCCTTTGTCTTAAAGCAGGACTAAAGTACAATTGGTTTCCTATGGTTGTGAAGATTTAATGAGCTAATACAGGCCAGTGCCCAGTACAGACGTGCCACTCACGGGCGGTGCCTCTCCCTCTTTTTCCTATAAAGACAGGCTCTCACTCTGTAACCTAGACTGGTCTTGAGTTCATGGGGATCCTTCTGTCTCTGCCTTCAGAATATTGGGAGTGCATGCATGCTCCACCACACCCAGACTTCTGTTTATTTGGAGACCTCGAGACTGAACGCAAAGCTCCACTCAGGCTCAGCATGCAGCGTACTACCTAGGCCCTCTACCCTCAGACATGTCTGCCCACCATAACTGACTACTGCAGTCACTCCAGGAGGGCAGGGATGCCATCTCATGCTCCTGTCTTTCCCATGGCCTGACAGAACACCCAGCATGTCAAAAACTGATTGTTTGCTGAACATCTGGTGTGAAATTGGCTATTGACATCTGGTATTGACATCTGGTGTGAAATTGCTGTTGACAGAAATACAGATCCCAGTATTCTATTTCGACTCAAGGGCAGGATCCCAGTAGCTTTGTTCTTTTTACCAGGTGGAGGTGCAGTATCATGTTTTATGACTTAAGATGTATATACTAAACAAACACACACACACTCACTCACACACACACACATGCTCGCACATTCCTACTGGCCTATGAAACCAAACTTTAGAGCCTCACTCACTCACTGCATCCCACATTGCCCATTCTGACTATACGTGATTAGCGAGTTTCCCAAGGGCCCTTTCTTAGCTGGGCAGGTGAAAGGGAGTTTTCCCAAATCAGGAGGTATCATGTCTCCATGGGAGTACTCGGGTTCTTCCATCAAGCCCAGTTGCTTTCTGGAATCAGATCGCTTAGGCTCTTTTTAGCAGCCTTCTTCATATGCCAGAGCCTCCGCTATCTGACCAGGGTCCACAGCCAGAGAGGCAAAGAGAGCAGCTGTCCCACAGCACCCAGCATGGTGCTTGCAGAGAGGCTGCTGCTTGCCCCTGTTTGGGCGCTTGGGCCTCAGCATAGCATCTTGCTGTCACCCAGGCACAGGCTGGCACTGTGTGATGAAAGGAAAGGACCCTACCTTTCATGGCTCCTGCCTCATCATGCTTTTCAAGGAGGAGGTATCGTGGGCTCTCAGGGAGAAATGGCAGGCTCGCCAGCTGGACCAAGGCAGGGACAACGATCACTCCAAACAGGTATGGCCAGGTGCTCTCCTGCAGGGAGAAGATGCTGCTGACGGAGGGGGCCTTTGCTTGATCTACTGGGGACACTGGACTGAGCAGCTTGAAGTTCACCGGAAGTCTGCTTGCTCAGCTCGTCCCCACTGCTAAGGGAAGGAACAGAACAGATGAGATAATGGTCCTGGCCCACAGCATTTTCCACACTGAGTTGGTGTGGAGTCCTCAGCATCTCCATGAGAGGGTAACCTAGGAGATCTCTGAAAAGAAAGTAGATCCTGGCAGCCAGGCCACTTGAGAAGTACCAGAGATGGCTGTTCCCCTAGCTTGGACTACCACAGCCAACCTGGGGGCTCCTTGGATCTCCTCCACTCCTCGAGCATGGCTCTTCCCATGCTGTCACGGGCATGGAGTCAGACTTGCTTGAGTGTGAACACTAGATCAAGACCCCTGTGTAGTGCCCACCATCTTCCTAGTTAATGAAGATAGGGAAGGGAAGATGGCACTGTCTCCCAGGCCTTCCCTGGGGACAGGGAGCCCTTATCTGTGGAGGACGTTCTCTTTCCAGCTGGCAGGGAAAGACAAATGGCCTCCTCCAACACACGCCATCAATTCGCTGTGTGCATGACTCCCAAACTGTGCAACTTTAATGCAGCATGAAGCATAAGTTCTTGTGCCCATCAAGGTGACATCCTTTCCTGTCTGTCACCCGGCTTTACAAATATGCTTCCACTGTGTGCCCTATGTAGGAGCAAGCCACATAGGCAGTGCTGATGGGGAGGACAAAGACTCTGGCTCCAAGATGATCTCTTGGTGTGTTTTACTTCCTAAGACAGGGAAAGGAAATAGTCCAGGAGAGAATGAGCCATGTCAAAACCTGAAGACATCACACAATGGGCAGAGGTCTGCTGGCCTATTCAGGCCCCACGAGCTCAGAGCCCTTAGGTATATGTGATGGCTTGTCGCCTGGGATGGCTCTCAGGAGAGAGAGTGTCACTGTCAGCTTTTCTGAGATCCTCTATGGAGTGCTGATGGCAGAGAGCCCAGAGCGTTCCAGACCGTACCAGGGTGCAGGAGCAGGGACCCCTGAAACACAGAGTAAGCTGGAAGGGGCCTGTCAGGGCTCTCAGCCAGTGTCAGCTCAGTCCTCATCTCCAAGGCAACTCCAGTCCTCCTCCCCTTTCTGAAGTTAGTGACTACTTCTATTCAGAGGCCAGCACAGTCCTTGCATCTCCCTTTGAAGGACAGGTGAGGTCAAACCAGGCTTTTCAGCTTGGGGAGGCTTGTGACTAGAAGACCATGCAATGAACGAAACCAGATGGTCTGTGGAAGGTCAGAGAGGGCAATTGTGGGCGAGGAGTGCCGAGGGACACAGACGGGCTCCTTTCACGGATCATGGGATATTCTGAGTGTAGATGGGCTCTGGTGGTACCATTTGTGATTATTCTAAAAACCACAGGGGTTTAGTATAAACTGACATGCAAACTACATTTCAATTAAAAATGTTAAAGCATGGTAGAAAACAATGAATAGAGTCTGTCAGTTCTGCCTGTATATTCTGTACCCACAGGTGCCACCCACCATGGATTGAAATATTCAGAAAAAAAATGTATCCATGTTGAACATTCATAGACAGGCCTCTTTCTCTGTCACCATTCCCTAAGCAATATGGTATGCTATGCAACTATTTGCATAGCATTTGCATGGCATTAAGGAGTATAATGAGTCTCAAGATGGTTTAAGATACATGGAAGGACATGTGTAGGTTACATGCAAATATCACACCACAGCATTCTGATAAGCGGTAATAACAGCCACCATAATTGAGGAAGGCCTTCAGTCTGGCCCAGGGCCACCCAGTGAGTGGTGAAGGGCCCTGCTCCTGAGCACGCAGCTCAGATCTGAATTTGTTATACTCCAATCATATTGCCATGGACAAGTACACTAAGATGTCCTGGGAGGAGCCTCAAGACCGCAAGCCAGAGGCTCCCAGCTGGAGTCAAGTGAACTGGATTTGACCTTCTGTATTTCTGATGCAAGTGGCCATCCGTGGTGCTTCTTGGTGTTATACCAAGAACTCAGTATCTCACTCTGCAGTGTCACCCAATAGCTGCCTTCTATTGAGAAACAAATGAGGGAGTGAAGTTTCTCTTATACACTGACCAGTTTCAGGGTTCCTTTTCCTGCTCCTGGAGGGTAACCTCAGCTTCAGGCTGTTTTTAGAAGTGTTTTTAAGAACATATAATCCAAAGTAACCATCTGAAGACAAGCACTGCATTCTCTCTCATGGGGATCCTATGTTCTAGCAAAGCTCGTGGGTGTGAGTAAATGTGAATAAAGACTAGGAAACTAGACAGAGTTCCACGAGAAGGGAAAAACGGGCTTTAAGGGAGGGCGGTGATGGGGGAATCATATACCATAGGACATATGACAGGGGACAGAAGTTGTGGTGGCAGTGGAGAGATGCAGGATAGAAACACGGACAGGGGAATCAAGCAAAACACGGTATGAATGAAAATGCCATAGGAAACCTGCTTCTCTGTAAACTAATTAATCAGACAGCTATACATTACTCCTCTCAGGAGGCCCACAGGCACCACAGAAGTCAGCCTGGGATGAGTCTTTGTGAGGTCAGTCAAGCTCTGAGATAATGGGAAGAGACACAGGGCCCAGCTCAGTGGCTTTGGGTCAGGGTCCTGGTACCCATTGTTCTCATCTGGACAGGTGTGGGTTATCTTGTTGACCAAGACTACATCTAACTCCCCAGGGGGAAGCCTATGAGTCTTCTAATAGCTGTGCCCTGCTCTTTCAACTGCAAGACCTCTGTTTTAAAGCCAGGTTTCTAGGCTACTTCTCCCAGACTATTGAGGGCTATTATAACCCCGCTCTGGACTACTATGAGACAGAGTAGGCATTGTGGATCTTACAGAGTCAAGTTCTTAAGTTTGTGAAACACCTACTGTGCAGGGATCCAGGAGGAACGAAGCAGGGGACCTGAAGGTGACCGTGCCACACTGGCTACTTGCAGCAACAGCTTTGATTGCTTCTAGGTGTGAAATGTAGAGACCCTGACCACCTCCAAGGTTCTTTGGAGATGCAGCAGGATACTCTTCATGTTTCTTCATACTCATGGTCTGAGTAAAGAAGACTGATATTAGTGAAAATGGGCTAAGGTCTCTGTAGCTCCATGAAAAATGACACTGCCCTGTTTTCCAATGTTCTTTCCTCCAGTGGACTGCGTTCCCCAAGAGCCACCCTAGTCTTGTATCTTGATGTATCTGCCAGTGCTTGAAGCGTGGCAGGCTGGGAGATTGAATGTGTGTTCATTTGAGGTGAGTGGTGACACAGGTCATCAATGCAGCTGCTAGTGATGAGACCCCTGAGCCATTCTCCAAGTACTTGTTTTTAAATTTAAGCCTTTCCTATATGACATCCTGTTACCAGCTGACAATTTACAGTAACACAATATTTCCCTATGCAGAATCCTTATGGTTTCAGGTCTATTGGAGAGAAATCTGAGCCCTGAAAGGTCAGTGAGTTCCCTTGAGAAGCTGGGGGACTAGCTGGATGATTGGTTAGCTCTTCTGACCCCTGTATAGACTCTTCCCTTGTTATTGTCCCTCAACTCAAAGCAAAGCAGAGCGGCGGCTCTCTCAGGCCTGGCAGCTGCTGGCTAACTAGAGAATATGAGTGACTGTTCTATTAGGCTAAATCAGTCCCCTGAGAAGAATTCAGCACCAGTCACTCAAACTCAGCTCCAACACTCACCACAGCACGACAGGGGCTCCGTCGAGGGAAGAGACAGGCGCAGGTGTCAGCCATTGTGGGAGGCAGACAACACTGAGAAACTGGGCCGTCTTGAGAAAGTCATACTTTTGAATGATCTCAGAGTGTGTAGGAGCTGGGATTCAGAAGGCAAATGGCTCCATCAGCAAACACTACAGAACTCCAGTGACCTTGCCTCTCTGCCTTCAGACACTTCCCAAGGAAGGGCCCTGGTGGCCACAGCTTCCTAGAGCCATGGGGTAGAGCATGGCTACCTGAGTAGAGTGGCAGTTTTTTGCCACCTCCAAATCTGTCGCCAAGAGTTCATTCCAGCTTCTAAAACATCTGCATTCCTTACAACCATGTGTTATTCTACATAATTTTGGTGTGTATCCAAGGTCTGATTCTACATTTGGAGGGATTCTTGTACACATTTATATTATTGTCCCATTTCCCTCTGTTACAAATAATGACATGACAGTCTAAGGACATGACCCTCACTGTGTGGTCTTTGCCAGTGCCACCTGTGGGGACCCCATACTCTTATACATACAATGCTCATTTCCCTTCCTGTTCCTATCACCATTTCTGCTTTCAAAAGGATTGGCCTGGCTTCTGCCTTGCTTGGTTCTCAGGCGATCTTATAGCAAAGACTAGCCTCCATTATTGCCTTTTTATAGAAAGGGACCCTGAGACTGGGGGACTGCTAGGAAGTCCTACAGCAAGTTGTCTGTAAACCAACTTCATTCTGGTCCTATTCGAAAGAGAGTCAAAATTCCACAGTACTTTTAAAGGTCGCTGATGCTATGAACTGTCCCTGGTCAGCCTATTAGATGGGATGTTGTTGAGTTTGTACAGATTTACTGAGTCTTTGGAGCCCCTGCTAGTGCTCCTGATTCTCAGCTGAAGAAACCCAGGTACCAAAAATCTTCTACCCCATTGACAATTACACTCCCTATAAATAGCTGTGGGGGGGGGCGGTGAAGTGGGTGCTGAACCCATGCAAGTGGTCATCAGCTCCATGCCCTTAACCTCTGTTATCCACAGGGTCAAAGAGGCCACAGTGCAGCTGTACCTCATTAAGGCACCCCCAAATTCCCTGACTCTATTTGTACAATTCTCTTCTCTTCTGTTTCCTAAGGAGTTAGCTACCTGCTCATCTCAAAGCCACGCTCCTTGGAGTTGAAACCCATGATTAATTCCTTTGCCAGCCTTCTGCTTTCCAGTTGAATCACCCTGGCTCCTGAGTCTCATTGTTCCCTTTGTCAGCC